CTTTTTATCATTACTATTATATATGGCAGTGTAGAGATGATGGCGTTGATAACGTTCATTAGTTGATGATGATGACCGTGAAGATAACTGATGTTGATGAATAATTATGATGATAATGACGATAATGGTGATGATAATGGTGATGATGATGACTGATGATGTTGTTGATATTAATGACGATGATGATGATGTTGATGGTGATGAAGTTGACTGATTATGGTGATGCCCGATGATGATGATAATGATGACTGATGATCTTGTTGATGAAGATGATGACGATGATGTTGATGGTGATGAAGTTGACTGATAACTATGGTGATGCCCGATGATGATGATAATGATGATGATGACTGATGATCTTGTTGATGATATTAATGACGATCATGATAATGACGATGATGTTGACTGATGATTATGGTGATGATGATAATGGTGATAATGATAATGATAATGAAGATGATGATAATGATGATGATGACTGATGATCTTGTTGATGAAGATGATGACGATGATGATGAAGATGATGTTGATGATAATGACATGATTATGGTGATGACTGATGATATTGATAATAATAATAAACTTTATTTGACACAGAAATCCTTCAGAAATGACTGATTTACAAAGATGCTGTGAATGATGATTGCTATGTAGATGAGATGATAATAATGATTGCTATGTAGATGACATATTGATGTCTATTAATGTCTGGCATATTGATGCCTGATGATTTACCTGTTGCCTCTAAGATAGACTCTTGTAAATTATTAGGGATGAGGGGTTCAGGTAGACGCTTGAAGAATGACTTGATCGCCCCAGTCACAGAGTGAACGCTAATGTTAAGAGTACTTAAGTCTACGTTATGATCTGTAGGAGAAACAGGACAAGCACCAATGAGTCAATTATTTTCGGTTAGCATTTTGAGCATTGCTGAGTACGACGTAGATTTCTCGTGTTTAATGAACTAGAATTCCACCATGAGTTAAACTAGTAGCATTTATGATACATCTAAAGAATAAGCATTTAATATTTCATGGATTTTCTTGGCAGAATCATGGAAAATGCTAATCAAAATGATTGGTTAAATTTTAGTTTGTTCTGTAGGTCATCTTAGCTAAAATATGTAAGAGTGCATGGAAACCGTACATAAAAAGAACATACTTTCTTCAAATTTCTCCATCAATAATCGAACATCGAGAGCGTTGCCATTCTTACGATAGATTCCTTCAAGTTGTATTCGTCCTGAAGAAACAACACATCAAATATTTATGGAAACCAACCATGAACAGAGCTTTCAAGGGATCTTACTTATGGAATTTCATGGATACGCTTTGATTGACGTGCACCAAAACCTACTTTGCTGCTACGGTAAATTGTGAGATTTCGCGTGTGTGATTTGCAGACGATGTAAAAATAACCTACCAATGATGATCAAATACCTTCAGATTCGATATATTCAATAGCTTTTTCGACAAACAAAGGTGTGATCTTCCCTTGCTCACAGATCGCCTCAAGACTAAGTCCGAAGTAAGAGCTTGGCATTTCTTCGCGTCTCTTGAACTTTGCGTTCTTTTTCTTCTTCTGCTTCTTCTGTTGCTTTCGTATCTTCTCTTCTCGTCTTCTCTCTTCTTTCATTTTTTCCTTCTCCAAACGGTTTAACTTCTTTTTAGACATAGAATTCTAGAAAACGAAATCGTTGCCATGGTTAAACTTGCCTTCGATACTGTTATCATAGTTACACCTAGCAACCATATCATTCTCATAGTTACACTTAACAATACCGTTGCCATAGGTAAACTTAGCAACCATACCATTGCCATAGTTACAGTTAGGAATCATACCCTTTTCATAGTTACACTTAACGATACCGTTGCCATAGTTACCCCCAGATTAATGCTGTTGCCATAGTCCATGGTTACCAAACACCTACGCATTATCATTATTATCTATTTATTATTTATTACTAATATTAGTCTTATAGATTATTTTTCAATAGCACGAAAATAGTGGGAAAACATTACCAACTAAAGCCACGTTGTGATTTTATACTCCTCATTGCGAGTTTCATATATTACGATTATCTTATCCGTAGAACAGTTTGTCGTTTCTCATAGTTAGTATTTACTTTATTATTTATCTGTTTTATTAATATATTTTTTATTTCTTAGGTTTTTTCATGATATTAAATATTATTATAATTATCAGCCCTTAACGAAAGAAACTCAACATCATAATTCAAGATAGTAAATACCCGGAAAAATGGAACAAGAACTGCACTAAAAAAAAAAGAATGTGACATGAAACTGAACTAATGAATGAAGAAAATGAGAATGGGAATAGGAGGAGCTACAATGGGAAAAGAAGTAAACAGAATAGGAACAATGGTAAAAGTGGGAATTGGAAGAGTAGATTCAGATGATAATATTTTGCTTACAGTTTTTCTAGACAGACTCGCTGACGGTGACATCAAATCTTCTTCAGTTTCCTGGTGCAATGAATAATAAATTAAATACTGTGCTTCAAGTGTGCATACATCAAACTCTACTAACATCTACTGAGCTTTTTTAAGTTTCAAATTACCACTATGTTTCTTGGTTACAGACTCACTAACTCAGGGTTAGCCGCGAATCATGGTCTAAATATTCACAAATACCAACGGTAAAGTAAAGAATGCWCAACTTCAACAATACAAACACTTTGAAATTCCACGGTCCTTCACTGGAACATGTGAATATTCTGCACAATATCAAGGCTAACACTGAGCAACAGAGAACTCACAAATTGAGTATTGAGTTTTTGTGATTCTATTTTGTTCTTCTGGTTGGGCGTCCTGTGTTTAAGCATGAGTGTTTTAGATAGTATGATGATTACTGTGATTGGTCCAGAACTGTGCTTTATAAGTGAACAGAGCACGGTTACTGACACCATCTTCGTACACAMAGCAAACTTTGCCATAAAGTTTAAGAAAGCAGTATTGAAAGCTAAAACATTTTTTCCTTCTATATTATGAGGCCACTACCAGTACATACAGTATTAGCTTCACACACACACACAACACAAGCACTGCATATAGAAAGAGCTAGTGAGTGTCAGTACACATGACAATAACAGTTAACTCACTCCTAGCTGTTACATCCATTAGCCATTAGGACGATAAGGAAAAAAGTGGGTGGAGTTTGCATTGAAGTGTATTGTGGGGCTTTCAAGGGATGAAAAAAAAACATCTTGGAAAAAGACCTTTTTTGAGAGCGAACATGTTGCATTGTGGTATAGCTTGGGTACAAACAGCTTTTGTTCATGATGCCTTACATGGTGTTGTTTGTACCCAATCTAGACCACAATGCATCATGTTTATCAAACTCAGAAAAGGCCTGTGCTCCCCCTAAAACAGCCCCACAACGCGCTTACTAAACCTAGTTTTATCCTCAACCAATGGCTACTAATATTACAGACATGCTTTATGATCAAACCACCAACATCATTTTATTATTTTATTTTATTAAATAGCTTTTCCAGTGAGGGCAGAGACACCACAAAATTTTACCAACTACTTTCATCAATTATTATTTTCATCTATGAACTCATTAATTAATCATTAATTAAAGTATTGGATCTATCATTAATCATTGATTATTATTGATTTCTATTACTAATCCTCAAATAGATTAAGAATATTATATTTTCCATTAGATTTATCTCAGCTTTGTTATCACAAAGGATGGTTTATTCAATCAATATTTTGTTATGACCGTTTATAGCTATAAATGATAATGATAATTATAAAATTCATTATACATAAGGAATTAAAAGAATTGACATTAGTTTAATACCATTGTTAAAAGATGAAAAGATCAGCCATTTTTTATTTGTTTTAAGCAATTTAAAAAAAGCATTTTACAATATTCCCCTTCACAGTTCCCTGCGCCATTACATCTTGAAAGGTAACTGTGCCTGTGCACTGAAGCAACAATGCAATGCCAGAGACATGTGAATAATTGTCCAACATGTTAAAAAAGGTCTCTACCAGTTGAAGGTTGCACTGTTGCTCTCGCTTTAATCCAAAGGCATGGATACCTTTGTATGTGGCGCAGGGAAATGTGAAGGGGACTATTAGTGTACCACAGGTAGCCCAGTGTGAAGGAAATAGAAAGCAAATATCATTACATACCTCTTTTGATTCATTCATGTCTTGCCGTGTTGGTACTTCCAATGAATCTCCCTAAAACGAACGAATGAATGAAGATTAGTATACTATGAACAGCGCATGCATGCTACACTTCTCAAAACCACACATTTGGGAAGCATGAATGGTGTACGCTGCTAATGTGGCCAAGGGCTTGGTGGGAGAACCTACATAGCACTCAGTTGATGTAATACAAATCTACTGCATTCTATTGTTGTATCTATTGTATTAGGTGTGATTATATTGCCGTTCTATCTATTGTATTAGGTGTGATTCTATTGCATTCTATTGTCGTTCTATCTATTGTATTAGGTGTGATTCTATTGTATTCTATTGTCGTTCTATCTATTGTATTAGGTGTGATTCTATTGCATTCTATTGTCGTTCTATCTATTGTATTAGGTGTGATTCATCATACTTTTAGCACATTTTTGAACTTATGAGTCATAGCAATGACAACTAAAAGGAACCATGAATAGATCCTTTTCGAGTTCCAAATTACCACTGTGTTTCTTGATTACAGACTCATTTGCTCAGGCTAAGCCTCGAATCAGTGTGTAATTACTCGCAAATACCAAGGGTAAAGTAAAGAATGCACAAGTTCAACAATACGAACACTTTGAAACTTGACGGACCTTGACTGGAACACGTGAATATTCTTCACAAAGTCAAAGGCAAGAAACACAGCGGTAATTTGGAACTCGAAAAGGGTCTATTAAAGACTACCTTGGATCCAGTAGAAAACCAAGTGGTTGTTGATGCATTGGATATTTTGGATGTGTTTTTCTTTTTCTTGTTCTCCAAGCTACTTGTGTCTGACGATTCTTCGTTAGAATCTCCTACGAATGGCTTTCCTTTGGATGGTCTGTTTTTCTTTGATTCTATGAAATCGCAATCATTTATGAATACAATAATTAATATTGGTGGATTAATGGCTGACCAACTGACCCACCAACGACTCGGCCAATAGACTGACTGATCTGAGTTATTAGTGCAGATTGTCTGAAATGGTGTTAAAGGAATGAATGTAGAAATGAAAAAGTGGATGGATGGGTGGAGGGAGGGAGGAACGGATGAATGGTTAGATTGAAGTAATAGGATGAGTGGGAAAAGGTGTGAAAATGGACCAAAATCAATCAAAGCCATGGGCTATAGTCCATGCTTTTTGCCCGAAAATGGCCAAAAATGAGCTATTTTGCATCCTTCATAAATAATGCATATTTTTGGAAAAGGTGTGAAAATGGACCAAAATCAATCAAAACCATGGGCTATGGTCCATGCTTTTTGCTCGAAAATGGCTAAAAATGACCTATTTTGCATCTTTCATAAATAATGCATGGCTGGATTTAGGGATAGATGGAAGAAATAAGATGGGTGGATGGATGGATGGGAAGGATGTACCCATCTATGCTTTTTCATTTGAACATGTGTCACCCCCTTGAAAATGAATTTTCTAGTCTCCACTCATGTTACATGTTACCTCAAGTGCACTTGTAAACAAAGAAACAATGCTCAAGGGAAGGACACATGGCCTGAAATGAGAAAACAGGACACCAACCTTTTGGCATTTTGCTTTTGGTCCTTTCATTGTTTTTGTCAACGATTTCAACAGACACATTCGAAGTAACAGTCTCTGTATTTTCTGTCTTCCGTGTACTATCTCTTTTACGTTCAAGTAAAGCTTTTCTCTTTTCTCTTCTCTCATAGTCTCTTAGCACAAACTTCTTCTTGCGGTCACGATCATGCTTGCGAGACATAGAATCCTCATCACCAGTCCCTCCATCTGAGTTCACGCTATCTAGCATACGCCGCTGTTCTCCTCGTTTGTTACGAGTGAAGTTGAATGATTCTACTAAAAAAATGATAAAGTATGTATGAATATCTTCATTGCTCTACCCACTTTACTGAGTTTACTAAAAAACCTTGAAGCAATTCAAAAGAGCATCAAAACCTTACATTTTTGTGACTCATTTAAAAATTTTCTAAACATTTAAAAATTTTGTCTCTAGTGCCATTGAACAGCTGGCAATGCCGTTCTATAAATAATCATTATCATTATCTTAAATACCTGTTTTCTTATTTCTATATCTCTTATCAAGAGTAGCAGACCCTAATTCCTCTGCTGAGTGAGCAGATCGTAACGTGCCGCTGTTAAAGGCCATCATATTTTCCTGTGGTTTGTCTTTGACCGTAGCGTAGACCGGAGCGTGGAGTTCAAAGCAGTCATCCTTGACTCGTGCATACCCAGGCTCTTCATCATCCTGCAAGCCAAACCATTCAAAAATGTTAAAATGATTCATTTAGTTTGTTAGAGTGAGTCATTTAACCCATGAAATAGATGTTAGACTAATACACGTTAGTAGTCACTAATTCCCTTGTTTTCTCTTGTGTCTATTTGACTATTACATCTTAGCTATTAAATTTTGTTTCACGGGTTTCATGTCTTCACTCTAGTTGAGAATGCTTTGTGTTATAGTTAGTATTCAATACAATTCAATTTATTCACACACTTTAAATAAATGAATATGACAAATTGTTTATATTTACAAGTTATTCTAGATTTTATAGAAAGATATATAAATAAATATTAAATATAAACAGTTACTRCAGTGAGTGTGCAGTGATGGTTTAAGTAGTATAAACTTTTGAGTAAACCATCATTGTAAAACTCATTAATAATTCATGAGAAAAACAACAAAAATGTAAATCTGATACAAAATTGTGTTCATTTGCATAAAATTTAAGTTGGATTTTCTTGGCCAGATTCACTTTAATTTTAAAATTTTTAGTGAAACACAAAGGAACTAACCTAGACGTTTGATAAGCAATCTACAGTATTCATGTCCTTGTTGTATCCAATATACAAACTCTCGGCTACCCCTTGAGTTCGTATATCTGATACAACATAGCCACTCATACTGTATATATTACCTACATCACTATGGTTTGTTTGTCTGTTGTATGTCATGCTTAGTTTTATAGATGTCTTTATCTGATTTCACTATTGTTATTTTTCTTGTTTTCCTTTTGGTTCTTGTAGTTTTATATTTTCCTCATTCGGGTTTTTGTTTTTGTCGTTTGTTTCTTGTTTTCGTTTGTTTTTAGGATTAGCGTTATCTGGTTACATGGCCTTGCAATTTCACATTTTCAGCTCACAAATATTTCAATTCTCTAAAAAAGTTTGGATTCTTTAGGTTGCACAAATATGGGTGCGTGTTTAAGTTTAAAATGTTTTTTGAATTTCTAGGAATTTACATAACCTTTAGATCAGCCCAGAGGTTGTTTCAGGGTTGGATCTGTGAGTTAGCCATGCCTTGACTTAGATCAGTCCAGAAGTTGTTCCAGGGTTTGATCTGTGAGTTAGTCATGCCCTGACTTAGATCAGCCCAGAGGTTGTTTCAGGGTTCGATGTGTGAGTTAGCCATGCCCTGACTTAGATCAGCCCAGAGGTTGTTTCAGTGTTTGATCTGTGAGTTAGTCATGTCCTGACTTAGATCAGCCCAGGGGGCTGTTTTAGGGTTTGATAAAAAGGTAAAAAAAAGTTACCTAGAACGCACATTAATATTTTATCTGCTAAGTACTACATTTTGATTAGTTTATCATCATTTAGTATATTAGTTTTCCTATGTTAATCTACAGAATCCTGCTTTGTTACTGTGAGAGAGCCAGCATTGTTATGTTTTTCAGTAGTTACCTCTTGTTGTGCGAGTGGTGCTTTTTTCACCTTACTGTACAAGTCAGGTACTGAGTTACGATGGTCAGTCGGCTTGGTTCGTTTTACCCAAACGTCTTGCTTAGTGTTGTCGTGTTTGGTTTTCTCATCAAACATTTGTATCTTGGTTCTTACGTTGTATTGGTAAGGATCTTTCGGGCTAGCAGGAGGATTTGCATGTGGGATCTCCTCATAAACTCGGCTACTACCAGTTGACTTGCGATTTTCTGCGCGGTTAACGTTGTTAATGGCTTCTGAGTTGATGGTTGAATAACCGTTGAGTATACTACGTAACGTATCGACACCTGAATCATCAGGAGGGTAGTCTTCATCGTAATTGTACATACGGTCAGGTAAAGCAGGGGGAATTTCGTCATATCCTGCTCCAGTATTTGATACGAGGTTTGGATTCGCGTACAGAGAATTTTCGATCAAGTTGGTCTCGCTTTCATTGAAAGCACTTGCATCCTTAGACTTCCTAAAAGATTTCTTTCTAGTTTTATCAGGTACAGCATAGATATCGTCCCCACGGGGCCGTCTCTCAGGATTCAAAGGCGTCTCAGGTTTTTCCTCGTTTGTCATATGATTTGTTAGTGCAGTATTGGGCGTCGACGTCATTGGGACCAAATGCTCCCCTGAACTAGACTTCGCAGCAATTAATGCCTTTTGTTCGGGGCTGAATTCAGCATATGGCGATGTGTCATCAAGATTACTAGCTGATAATCGATGATGTGCTCTAGGTGAAGCTGGGAGGTGCTCACTAGCTGTACGCCTTCGGGCATTCGGTGGAGCAGGAAGAGGGTCATGTACACTGCGCTTCTTTAACTGCAGCCGGTGTTCTTGACGGGCTCGCTGTTCCTTCATGAATTCAGCATAGGCCATCTCACTATCATCCTTCTTTTCCCAGACACGATTAAAAAATGCAGCAAACAGCCCCCCTGGAAAGAAAGTGCACCACAACTTGTTAACAAGATCATCTTTCTAGATACTGATGCTCTGAGTTAAAATAACTGTTATGAATGTCACGTTCTGATTGGTTTGGAGCGCGTGCTTTATGAGAACACATTGCACGCGCGCGCACTTTCTGTTACGTCATTCCTATCTATTATTGCAATTTGTATTAATTTATAAAAGAAATAAAAAACTTGCTTGTTGTGCTGTGTGCAGTCATAAAGCACTTGGGGGTTGGCAGAACACTCAAGAAGTGTCGAGAAGCACTCCACTATGCTTCTCCTAACACTTCTCTCGTGTTCTGCCAACCCCCGCGTGCTTTATCACAGCACACAGCACGCGGGCGCGTTTTCTATTTCTTCAGTATTGCAGAAATAAAACAGCTTTTTCCATGCTCTCTTCACTAATACTACACACATTAGTAAGTGAACAAACATGAGAGAAGTGTGAAGTCAGCGTTAGCCTTTTTATATAGAGCGTTTTCACGTGACGCCACAGCGGCCATTATGGAGTACCAAAACAATACATTTTCTATCCTACGGGAATTGAACTCTATTTTTATGCAAAATACTGTGCAGAAAGTTTCTATTGTTTATGGCTGCCTTCTCACGTGAGTGAAAACGCTGATTGAGTGCTGTTTGGGGCTTCCTGAGTGCTGTACTACAGACAGAGCAAAGAAATAGCTGTTTTATTTGTTTTATTACATAGAAATTAAAATTTGGTTGTAGTTTACAATTCTGTTTTCTTACAATGCGAAGCAGACTGTGTATGCTGATGTCTCAGGATCTCACATGTTCACTAAGAAAAAAATAAGTGTTTCCTGTTGCGCAACAGACCCTAATTTTCTTGCCAATTTTTGCTGACCCTAATATTTTTTCATTCCCAAATGCACCACAGGGTTCCAAGTAAGCTAATTTCTACTGCATATTTTTCTCATGCAACAGGAAACACACTTATTTTTTTGTTTGGCCTGTTGGGAGGACATAACAATAGGTTTCCTATTCTCAGGAGATTGAAATTCTTTGTTTTGTCCTCCAAATTAAGCTGCTTTGACGCACATGCAAAGGGTCTATATACCACGGTTCTCAACCAATCAGAGCACTCATAGTGAGTTGACTATATAATAAAAACAGATATTATGATTGTTGTACCTTGATGCTGGACTCTAGTTGAAGTAGTTTGAAATTTGGCATATAATTTGCTTGCTAGGTTGATCCCCTCGGCTAAAAGGGACACAGGGACATCATTGCTGTGGAACACCACACTAGCACCTGATGCTCTCCCTGTCACAGCCAACACCTGGATAGGGACGTGAGGAATGGACGACGAGAAAGCACTAAAAAGAATTCACAAAAATCAGTATTCAACCTCAATAATCATTTTATAATAATCATTTCAAATAGAGCTTAAATCATTGAGAACATTTTTGCTTGATTTTTAATGAAGTGGCCTCATGGGTTACCTTAGAGTAGCCAAAGATGCTTTTCTTTTTGCTGAATAGACAAGAATATATCCATGGAACATCTGATCATTGAGCGTGTAAGCACCTTAAAGAAAAACACAAAYGAAATCAACATCCATTCACAGGGTCGTTTAGATGAATTGCCTCTATCGCAAAGATCAAGGATAATGTAACATTAAATTATGCACTCGCTTCTCACCTCTTTACAAACAAGAAAAATTGCTCTGCAACTCATCTCTTAGCAACTTTAGGTGACAGGTTATATGAATCTGTTACCAAAATGTTTAATAGCCTGCATGCCGCCAATCATAGTGTATCTTACATAATGATGCAAGCAACAGTGGTGGATAACAAGGAATGATGCACTAATTTGCAGACTGTCTTAACCAAAGTTATAGTCTGGCTACACGCAGAATAATACAAGACAATAGACAGTTTTATCAAGGTTGTGTGTGCATCCAAATTTAAGGAATTGGACGGACCACGATACCAAAACACGAATATTATCATGCATTGCTATGATTTTTTTTCGATAAGAATTCATAAAATTGATTATTCTCCTCTTTAAATATAAAACTGGCTTCTCAATTTTACTGAATTTGCGTTTTTCAGTTTTGTGGCCCGTCAGTTGGATGCCTGTGCAGCCTTGAAAAAACGATCTATTCGTGACTTCTGCTCACACAAGTCGTTTCATCAAGATTACTACTACTTGTAGCAAAAATTTATTTCCACTTACGATGATACGAAGTGAGTTTGATTTGGACCCTTCTTTTGACGAAGCCGACATATGTTTCTAGTATGATGGTATCTGGCTGAGTTGGACTACGCCAGCAGGCTTGGTGGTGTAGTAATGGACCAAAGATAAGCTCCACTGGGTATGAATCGCCGCACATTGCGCACAACATGATTCTTGAGGGATAATTAATAAATAGTGATGTTAATAATTATCATTAATTTATTATTATTAATTACTATTATTATTATCTTCTGTTTGGGAAAACACTGGCGGTGTAGCCATAAGAGCGCTCCCCTCTCACCAATCTCACCCAGTTTGAAATTTCCAGACTCACTGTCATCTATGAAATTGTTGGTTCCCTTTGAAAATTTTTCTCCAGGTTCTCCATATTTCCCCCTTCTCAAAAACCAAATACTAAATATCAATTAGAGTTTAGTAAAACAAGAAACACTTTGATGGTTATTCTATTCTAATAAAGAATAATAATATTAGTCTTAATTAGTCTCATAAAAAACATACAAGACATATAAATAGTCTTAAACCCGTGAAATAGAGAGTAGACTAATACACTTTAGTAGACCCTAATTCCATTGTTTTCTTTTGTGTCAATCTGATTATTACACAATGACTAGCCTTATTAATTAATAGTTAAATAGTCATAATAATAAATAACAATAAAATAATTTACAAAATAATCCTATAAAAATATATACATGTTTTGTAGACCAATGATGAGCACGGTTACGCTACCTTAGATCAGATTCAGAGTCTCTGATGTCATCAGTTGAGTTCAGTGTTCTTGCTTGTTGCTTGATATCCTCTACCAGAATACGCATGGCATCCACTACCTGGGTCTCATGGATCATCTTATCGCGGGAAAACCTTGCCAGGGGGATATCAATGAAGGATGCCCCAAACCTGAAGATAACACAATATTATAAAATATTTAGAAATTTACGAGAGAGAAAAAGTGCCGAGTCAATTCCAGTCATTCTTGAGCAGTTGCTTAAACTTGAATGCAAATAATCAATGTAGTTCTGATCTTTTGCCTTATGAAAAGGTAACAGACTTGTATTTATTCAGAAAAACAAAGTGCATTCTGGTCTAGCTTGGGTATAAACAACACCATTTGCATGTTACATGACTGTGCAAATTTCAATGCTCTCCAATAGAAGATCTTTTAGCACTTTTCTTGTTAAGCATTACCAACATAACCACCATATTTTTATTCCTTTTGTCTCATTAAATTTTCAAAACAAATATTATTTCAAGGTATGGACTCATTGTCTAGTAGCCCAGCTTGGAGGTACAGGATTGTAATTAACTATACCTTTTTGCCAAATCCTGTCCCTTTTGCCTCAAGCTCGGCAAAACATCTTCATTATCAGGGCTCTTGGCAAGGAAGATGGTGATGGATGCTGACAGATTAAGCATGTTGGTTTCGTCTACACTGTTGTATCCTGGCTTGCAGTACATGCTTTCCAATACGTCTTGAACATATTCCAGAGAATACAGGGTGGAATAGACACAAAAATAACCTGTTGAATAAAGAGACAAAAACTCAGGAAAAGTGAGGCCAGTGATATAACATCTTTACTATACAGGCATCTTACTAGTTGCAAATTGGTTCAAATCTACAGTGCGCTCACTCCAAGAACATAGTGTGCTTCTGACACCTTTTGACCTTCTTTGCACACGGTACAAAGTTAATGTCAAGTTTATTTCAGCAGCAAGCTATGTTAAGGGTGTAACACTATGTATATGCTGAGTGTCGCACATGTATATTATAGGGTATATTAAAAGTATGGGCCATGTTGGGTGTGACACATGACCTTATATGTTTTTATTCACTTTTGCATGTCATATCTTTCACTTGTTTGCTGCCTTGCTTGTTACAGATATAATATCTGATATGATATGGTAAATCATAAATAATCACTATACTAAGCTTCTATAGGGTATATAATAGGTATAGGCCAAGTTGGGTGTGGCACACTATGCCGTAAAGCATATATATAATCAAGTTAATCTTGCATATAGTTGCTGTGTTGGGTGTGGCACACTATGCCGTAAAG